ACCAGCTTGTGTCAGCAGCAGCAGCTTCTTCTCTCTTTCATTTCAGTTTATTCAACCAGTTCAGCTTAATAATTAGTTCTTTTGAAGTTGAGAAACTGATTGGAAGTTTTAATAAAAAGCTTGTCTTCTTCCAATCTATAAATAAAAATGGAGGTGTGACAGGATAAGATCTATTAATTCTAAAATACTGCAGGACATGGCACCCAAAAACAATCTGTTCAATTCACTAAGCATAAATATTTCCTTTGTTTAATAAATCAGTTTTAAATGATAAATGTTTTGATATACCTTTTCTTACGTATGAAGTACAATTAAGATAATTTTATTGAAATGCTGTTTTTTTATAAATGCTGGTTTTGTGCATTTTTAATTCCATGCCAATTTTCATCCAAATGCAGCTTAACACAATCATCAGTTAAAAAAAAAAAAATCTAGTAAATAAAAAAAAATCATTTATGATTTTCTAATAAAAATTAAAAATCTGAATAAGTTTAACAAACTTATTTAATAATCACACAATCAGAGAATACTAGAACTGGAAAGGATCTCAAGAGGTCATCAAGTCCAGTCCATAGCACTAATGGTAGGATTAAGCACCATCTATCTCAGGGGTAGACAAGAGAGCCTCTGCAGGCCAGATCCGGCCCGCCAAGCAGGTCAATCCAGCCCACGGCCGCTTTGCTGTTCCCCTGCCCCCAGGCCAATCGAGACCTGGGAATGGGGGAGCGTTTGAACAGCTCTAGGCACAGAGCGCCCCTTGCAGGGCAGGGGCTGAGAGACTTCACATGTTGCGGTGCTTAGAGTGAACCACCAGCTGTTCAGAACAGCTAGCAGTTCTTTCTAGATGCTGGGGGCAAAGACTTCACACCCTTCCCCCGCTCCCAGGCCAATCAGGGTTTGTGGATGGGGGAATATGAGAAGTGTCCTGGCTCCATCCCTTCTACCCATGGCTCTGTCCCTTCTGGGATGGCCCAGAACCACTTGGCCCCGTCCCTTCTGGGATGGCCCAGAGCCACTTCAAAAATTTGTGAAGTGGCCTCCCTTCTAAAATTATTGCCCACCCCGATCTAGATCATCTCTGACAGATGTTTGTGTAACTTGCTCTTAAAAATCTCCAATAATGGGGATTCTACCACCCCTCTTGGCAATTTATTTCTCTCCCCCAATTCCTGCTAGATACTGTGTGTCACACTGGTTAACAAAAAAGTAATACATTATTATCCCAAGAGAGTTGAAGTACAAGTACAAATCTAGATTGATTTCAATAATTTTCAATCCACCATGCAATAGACACAGTGATTAAAACTGAAATATAAGAAATGCTGTTTGTACAAATGTAAAAGGTTGAGAACTTGTGTAAATTCTGAAGAGACAGACCATCAGTTTAGATTTTTTTTTTTTAAACAAAAATGATTCACTGGATTTTTACCTACTACTGTACCATGTAACACCAAAGACTCCAATACGCCTTAAAAAAACCAAACAAAAAAACAGGTGTGGCTGAGACTCCACAGGTTTGTTTGCTCAGATCTAGAAGGGAGAGTCACTGTACTTAGGTGGTTATTGAAATGTTTAGAGCCATGCGTGGATACAAAATTTGTATCTGCATCCATACCTGCAAAAATGAGCTGTGGATATCAGCATCTGCAGACATAAAGCTGATATTCACAGATTTGCAGCGCTCTAGAAATGTTCATTACATGCCACAGTCAAATAAATCTCTCAGATCAGAGCTTTGCAGAGCACACAATGTATGAAAGCAGGTTATGGCACAGGGCAAGGGAAAAAGCAGAAGGATCACTAAACCTGCCCAAATGAATTTTTTTTGTGGGATGAAGGAAAGAGGAAGGATTGAGAGAGTCCTAGCACCCCACTATCTCTGACACTGGAAAAAGCCAAATGTGTTTTTGAAGCCTCACTCCAAGAGAGAAAGCCCCCTGAACCCTATTCTATTTCAAAAGCTCACCCTGATTTACTTACAACGTGCACATTCCCTGGGGCTTAGCAAGGGGAGGGTATAACCAGGACATGTGTTAACATTTCACAATGTTTCCCCTCCCACAATGTAGTGAATATCAAGTCGTCCTCAAGGACAGCAGATACATAGTACACTGGAGGTTGTAACACCCTATTATGAATTGAGTGTAAGAGAAGTCAAAACAAATCAAGAAAGCTCCCAAGCATGTGCTTTCCCCTTCAATTCCTATCCTCACCTTGCACACAAGCATCAAAACCAAATGAACTGAACTTATTCTATTTTTCCCCGGACGACTTTCACAAATGGCCCAGCATCAAGTGAGAGATTTCAGTCTAAACAAGTATTTTCTCAGAAACCTCTGTAAATAAATGAATAAAGGTGGTTTCGTTTGGCTTTGTTTTAAAACAATGATCCTGGAACTGATGACTACATGGCAAATATGCAGCCCTAATTCTATCAAAGTACTAACATATTTAGTGTTTTGTAGGAACACGGAGACCAGGCTGCAGCTCTCTGCTAGTAGTGATAATGGGAAGACTCTGCTACATGTGGGAACTATAACAAGACTATCATACTTTTGGATTATTTTGCTTAAGCGTGACCATTTGTACAATCTCAGGGTGAAAAGGATCTATCACTGAAATCCTGCATTGATACTGGTAAGCAAAGAAATGGAGGAAAGAGGGAGGCATCACTCAGTTCCCCCACATTCTTTGTCTGAGCATCTCGTACCTGAACTAGGGATGTAATAGTGTAGTCGATTAACCAATAAGCAAAAGCTTATCGGTTAATGCTATAGACTACACGCATTCGCCCCCACACCAGTACATTTCTTAGCAGGCTGGCCAGCAGGCCGGCTCAGTCCTGACAACTACCCCAGCTGCGGCTCTGCATTTAAAGCATATTAGGAGCCGGGCGGACAGGCAGCCCGGCTTGTGCCGGGTCTGGGAGCTCAGACCTCTCTAGACAGGGGCTGCTGCAACCCACACTGCTGCCTCTTTATCAGAGGCAGCACTACAGGGCAACAGGCACAGCCGGTCCTAAAGGGGAGCTGCTGTTTAAATTGGCTCCCCTTGTGGACCAGCTCCCACCTAGCACCCTGCTTTGCTGCCTCTGATACAGAAGCAGCAGCGCGGAGTGGCAGGGGTCTCCTCAGGAGTGGGGGCCGGAGCATACTGGCTGCTGCCTCTGCCCCTGGGGACTATAGAATAGTCCAGGGCTACTCAACTTTGGAAGGCCACAATGACACTCACAGCACTCGTGACGAAGGCCACAACTTAAGTGTGATTACATAGACATACATATATAAATGCAAATAGCTTCTTTCACACTGACGGGCATGAATACAAAGATTAAGGCAAGACTACACAACATGCAGGCCCCATTTAAATCAGTTCTGGTGATATTAATAAAATGCAATACGTACCTGATTTCCACCCGTATGACAGCACTTTTAATGAGCAATGACAGTCCAGGAATTTAACTACTAAAACTCATATCAACAGAAGACCATTATATTCAGGGCTTGACAAACCCCGGTGAGAGCTACTCGCCAGCCCTGCACTGCGCATGTGCCAGACCAGCACTGTGCACGCGCGAAGCGCAGTTGAATGGGGCGCATGGAGCAACCGGCTGAAATCTACTTGCCACAGGCGAGTAGATTCAGCGGTTTGTCGAGCCCTGATTATATTGACTACTTTTTTGTTTTGGGTCCCACCTGCGGGCCAGGTGTTGAGCCCTGCATAAACCCAAACTGCACTGCAGGCCACAAACAAACAGGCCACAAGATGCATGCAGCCCACAGGCCACATGTTGAGTAGCCCTGGAATAGACGACTAACCGACAAGAATTCATGAGGTTACTCAACTATTCAATTACCCGATATTTAACATCCCTAACCTGGAAACTAATCCCCTCCAAATCTCAAAAGTCTTGCATCATCCCCATTATGCTTCTAGGCTTGTGGGGGACCAGTGGGGATTCCTTTCAGGAAACTTTATTGCTGCTTCTCATTGATATACTCAACAGAATACAGCTGAATCTCAGCATTATGAGAAGCTCTGGAATGGAAGCGGTTTGTAACACTGAACAAAACATTATGGTAGCATTTTCAAAAGTTGATAACTGAACATTGACTTAATACAGCTTTGAAACTTGATTATGCAGAAGAAAAATGCTGCTTTTAACCATCTTAATTTAAATGAAATAAGTATGTTTTCTTACCTTGTCAAATCATGTTTTTAAAAGTTTTCCTTTTTTAATAGCTCACATTTTACACAGTACTGTACTAGGGATGTTATATTTAGATTAACTGGCTAATCGAATAGTTGATGCAATTTGCATCGACTAGTCGATTAGGGCACCTCAGCCCTTGAAGTGTAGCAACAGCCCCAGGGCTGTTGCTACACTTCAAAGGCAAAAGCGCTGCAGGGAGCAGAGGGCCAGCTCCACATGGAGCCTGAGGTAGTGGTGGAGTCCCCAGCTGACCCTGGGCTGCATGTGGAGTTTCAAAGTGGCAGCACCATGTGGAGACCAGGGTCTGGCCCCGGGCTCCATGCAGTATTTCAAAGCAGCAGCGCTGTGTGGAGACCAGGGTCTTTCTGATAGGGGCAGCAAGGGGGGGTAAGCAACTAGTCGACTAGTGTGTATTTGCTTATCCGATAGTTGACTAGTTGTTCACATCCCTATACTGTACTCCATTTGCTTTTTTGGGGGGGGGGGGGGGGGGGGATGAGGTATGTTGTTGACTGGTCAGTTCCTTACTCTGATGTTCATAACTGTATGTTCTATGGTATTGTATTTACCCCGTCTTCTGATGGGACATGCTTTCTTTACAGCCCTCAGAACTCAACCAAGTTGTTCCACACAGCAGCACAGACCCTTGCCCATGGGGTTACTAGACAGACAAGATTTTATCATCTCACTTCTCAGCAACACAAAGCAGGACCAGCTATCCTTAAACTGCCAACAGAGTTCTAAAGCTCTCAACAAAACAGCCCAGGACACAGAGCAGATGACTTACCAGCCCTTCTCCTCTTCAGTGTGACATAGGGCAAGAGGTCATGGCGCGTGATAATCCTCAGTAGCTGCAGCACCTGGCGGAAGTTGGTCTCATCACAGCGGCCCTGCCTTTCTAGGGCCAACAGGAAGTCCCGGCCGCTGCGGATCATCCCCCTCTCATAGTCATCAATCACATCCACAAAGAGAAAGGACAACACACGTACGTCCCGGTGGGTCAGGTGAGTGCCCACAATATCAAACATGCGGTGCAAACTATAGAGTCCGTGCTCCCTGTCCCCCGTCTCCTCCGGCCAGGCTTGTGCTCGACTCCGTTTCAAGGTGTCCATCCTGCACGGTGGCTGATCCCGCCACGTGCCACCCAATTCCACAGAACTGGAGAACTGTTCCTAGGACTGCAAACCTGAAAGATAAAGAGGGCCAACAGGCTTTAATCAAGAATTTGGCTGGTTTGTTCCCTACTCGGAAGATATTAAATACAAATTCTTGTCTGAATTCCTGCATCAACAGCAGTTTGTGCTCAGATCCTCCTTATGCAGGGTCATAATATTCATACTAATACTTCCCACCTCTCTCCATATAGAGCTTTTCACCTAAAAGTCCCTATGGTTGTCAGTCAGGATTACACTTCTCCCCGCCACCCCCAATCTGGAAAGTGGGCTTACTTAGGCTCAGAGTGTGTGCAAGAGCCAAAAAAAAAAAAAAAAAACAGAGCTGGAAACAAAAACCAGGAGTCCTGATCACCAGGCTTATATCTGATCTCCTCTGCCAATTCCTGCTACTATAAAGATGCTGGAAATCACTCCCTCTTGTGGTTCACTAGAGACCAGTCTACTGGCCTTTGGGACATAATGCAAAAGACCGTGTTTAACTGGCTTTTTACTGGGTACAGTATTATGAAAGAGGCAGGGGAGCAGCTTTCCATGACGTATCTAACAGGCACTGACACTGCTCCCATGGTATCTGAAAAATCATCATGAAAGTATGTATAGACCAATAAAAAGTGCTATATCAGTTTTCATCTAAGGATCTTTAAACATTAATTAAGCTTCACAAGTTCCCTCCTGAAAATAGTGCAGTCTCTCTTTTGCAAAAGAATTTGGCACACAGAGGGATTAAGTGATTTGCCCAAGGCCATCCAATGGTTAAGTGGCAAATCCAGGATCCCTAACACGCAGTTTCCCACTCTCAATGCAAGCATTTCATTTATGGAGCTTAAGGTGGTTTAACTTTTTCTCCTCCCACTCACACCATGGGGTTCAGTTCTGCTTGGTAATTTGTCTTCCTGTCACCTGCACACATGTCTACAGCTTAAATTAAGAGAAGAAACTTTGTGCAAAACACATGGCACAGACTCAATCCAACCCCAGAAGGGTGGATCATTTATTGTATGCAAGTCTTTCATCTGTCATCTGACTGCCCTGCCTGGAGTGCCCACCTGTGACAGGTTGTAGCATGACAGGCTCACCTGCCTCAGCTGCCTTCCTTCAGAGTCCCCAGAGACAATCCAAAGCCTCTTAGTGCCAATAGCCCATATGCATTTCATTTATTACAAGAGAAACACACACACCCCCATGCACATAAGTCACATCATCACACCTCAGACAAAGTATCAAGTTCAGCTTTAGCAGCCCTCAGCACACCCCGGCTCTGTGGCAGAAACCTCTCGCCACATCCTGGCTCTCTGTTTGTTCCCTCCTGCCCGAGTACCAAACTAGCTGCCCTAACCCTTCCAACTGGAGAGCACTTCTGTTCTTCCCAGTGGGAACCTCCACAACCTCTTTTCTGGGAAGCCCTCAAGCCAGGGAAGCTTCCTTCACTAGACCAGCCCTCTCACCGCTCCTCTGCTTCCAGCTCTCTGGCCCTTTGAGTAAGCCCTTCCATTACTATCTTGCCTTCAGGCCTCCCCGGACCCTCCACTCCTCCCAGCTTAGAGCCAGCAACTTTCTATAGTGCTTCCTCAGCTCTGAGTTGGAGATGCCAGTCAGCAAACCTCCTCTTGTGCCTTCAGCCTTACCCCTCCTGCTTCCTACTAGTACTCCTCCAGTCCCCTGTCAGTTCTCACCTAGCCTCCTAACCAAACCAGTCTGCTCTGACTCACTTGGACTCCCCTTCCTGATAAGCCCCCAGGTGCTGCCCAGCTCTCTTCATTAGCCAAAAGGGAACACGTGTCATGGCACAGAGGAGCTGGACCTACTTAATCATAGAATCATAGAATCATAGGACTGGAAGGGACCTCGAGAGGTCATCGAGTCCAGCCCCCCGCCCTCAAGGCAGGATCAAGCTCCGTCTACACCATCCCTGACAGATGTCTATCTAACCTGTTCTTAAATATCTCCAGAGAGGGAGATTCCACCACCTCCCTTGGCAATTTATTCCAATATTTGACCACCCTGACAGTTAGGAATTTTTTCCTAATGTCCAATCTAAACCTCCCCTGCTGCACTTTAAGCCCATTACTCCTTGTCCTGTCCTCAGAAACCAAGAGGAACAAATTTTCTCCTTCCTTCACCTTTCTCCTTTACTTCACCTTTAGGAGCAGTCTTCTTTAACTAATAAGATCCCAAATACTTTCTGGCAAGCACACATACAAGCCATGGTGCCTGAAGTGGATAGTGCAGAACACAAAAAGGAATCCAAGCAAGTAATCGAGTGAACAGTTTGCTGGAATGGACAAAGCTATGACAGTAGTGCATCCAGCTCTTGAGCTAGAATCTGCCTAATGGCCCGGCCCCATCCAAGGCATATGAACAGGATTTTTATGATAAAGGCATCAAATATAAACACATTATTAAGAGTAATCATTGGTATCACAATGAAACAGCAAGCCCAGTGTATTAACTATTATGCAAGAACCAGTTCAGTTACTAAGCAGGCCCAAACCTGTTTCACTTTTAAAATCAGATGGGAACAGTCAAACTGGCTTGTGACCCCTCCTTGCTTCACTGATCTATAGACTAGCCTATGTTACCTGTCTACGTATTCAGTTACGTACACTCACCTGTCTACGTATTCAGTTACGTACACTCACCTGCCCCAAAAGGCTGGGAACTATTGGCCTAGCAGTCAAAACCTTGCCATGCCAAATGCCTACATCTGATGCCCAAACATTATTCCTATGGTGACGGGCTATCAACATAGAGCAGTCCATTTGGCGGGTATCCGCATCCCTAGTTCACATCTTAATAGTTCTCACACCCATGGCTGATTAAAAGTGGCACTGACTTTTTCCAACAAGGGTATCAAGCCCACTATAGGGATGTGAAAGTGTGTACACTTTTAACCGTCTATAGGAGCTGGGACGTGCGGGGAGCCGGGTTAAAGCCAGCTCTTGCGCACCGGCGCCTGTCTTCTCCCCTTCTCCCCACACTGCTGCCTATGTATCAGAGGCACCAGTGTAGTGGGGCAGGTGGCCCTGTACATGCTGGCATCTGCATGTCTCCCCGCGCTGCTGCCTCTTTTAGAGGAACAATGCAGGGGGGTAGGCAACTCTGTGGGAGCTGACTCCCCCCAGATTATAAACGTCTAACTGCTGAAAGTTTCAGTGGTTACATGTTTGCCTGAATAAATACATTTTAATATCCCTAGCTCCCATCCTGGGAGCAGGTCAGGAGAGGGAATTCTCAGTTTTGAGAGCAAGAAGCCTACACATGCTCTGAAAGTGAGTTATGCTTTCATTTATAATCAGCTTCACTTCCAGGTTTTCAGTACAATAAAAGGTAAGTTAAAAACACCTCTTTGTTTATTTGATTTGTTTTCAAACACAAAATTTGAAGTTTTAGGACAAATTTGAATTCAAAAGTTCTCTCAAGCCAAGACAGCTATAGCTGTGAATTTCTAAACTCAAGTTTTAAAAAATAAACTTAATATTCCCTTTATAAAACTTTTATACTGAATATGAAGTTTGCATATCATCAGCATGGATATTTATAGGCAAAGGGAGCCGCTTGGGAAAAGCTTTGTACGCCTTATTTTGGGTCATACACAGTGCAATCTCTATCCTCCGTTGAACTGGGATTTTGAGAGGCAGCTATATGATTTAGTTTTGCTTACACCCTTTTAGAGATCATCCTCCTCCTCTATAGTAGTTAAGTTACATGGGAAACCCCCTCCACATATCTGAATTTTTTTAATAGACAATACTAGATTGGAAGCAGGCACTGCACAGCACAAAGCACATTGTGGGAACACAAATATAATGTCATAAGAAACTGACAAGAGAATATTTTAAAGACGTGGAAGAAAGCGTGTATCTATGACTTCTGGTTTTTGACATTTATTCATGTAATTTTGAGGGGTTTTTTAAACCAATTTTTGAGTGCCATGTAGCTGTCCAAAAAGCAGGGGCTTTCAGAGAGAGAGGTGTGTGTGTGTGTGTGCGCGCGCGCGCGAAACAAACAAACAGCATTATGTTACAAGTGCACACTAGTAGGGTCTAGGGAGATTAATTCAGGTTGAATGTCTTAGCACATTTTAGAAATCACAGCCCTGTGGTCCACATTACAGATCTATGTCGATAAGCCCTTAGAGATGAGCCAAGGAGCAGGAACATAATATATATAAACAAACTGCACTAGGAAAGAGGTGAAGTCAACATGAATTGAGTAACCATTAGGGATCTAAAAGAGTAGCTGAATGGTCGACCACCTACCCAATAAGCCTAGGCTTATCAGGTAGTCGAGTCGAGTCGACTACTCACATTTTCCCCTGCTTGCTGGGAGCAGGAGCCAGTGCTGGGGGGAGTGGGCTTAAAAGCTGATTCCCTTCAGCACTGTCTCCAGGGTGCAGGGAGGGAGGGGGAGGGGGAGCAAAGGAAGGCAGAGGCGCAGCGGCACTGCAGTTCTTCCTTTTAAGTGTAAAAAGAGCCGGGCAGGCAGAGGCACAGCACGGGACCCGATGCAAGCTTGCGCCAGGTCCCAGACCTACTTCTGCTGCAGCTCTGCAGTTTGAATGTAGTAGGAGCCAGGCTGCCTGCACACGCCTGAGTGGACATTTAACTCAATACTTATCATTAGTAAACATTTCTGGTGTTAATTGGATAAATACTGCAACTGTTTGTATGTGGGGGGAAAGGGTGTTTTATTGGTAAAAATCTAAAATCAGAAGTCCTATTTGTTTATTTTTGAAATGCAGCTTCTCTTGAAGGAGATGTGCTTTTACAAGGTACACACTGGGCTTAGATGTATCAACGGTTAAAAGTAAAGATCAAAGAAAGGGAAAAAAATGTTGTTTCCAAGTTTTAACCAAGAGAGTGTAAATGTGTTTCCAATTAAAATCTTAGAAACAATACCTCCTCTCCATCCCCCCTCTCACTGCTCTCAGCTCCTGTCTCTCAGGACCCATCTACAGCAAGAAAGTGACCATGGTGAAGCACAGCTGCATAAAAGTTGGGGACCAGTGACT